TGTCGAATCATCAAAGCCATAAATCCCAAATTGATTTTTTTCATTTTTACGCAAAACGTCTGTAAGGTATTGTCTTTTCTCTAATCAAAGAAGTTAATTTATCCATCTCAGCAAGATCTGTCAATTTAACCTGCCATTCCTCCATGGTGGTAGTATCCAACCTTTCCATCTCTGTGCATATAATCATCTCGCCACAGTAATCATATATTAAAATAATCCTCCATGGTGTTTTTCTAACTGTTTATTCATCAATCCTAAAAGGAAAAGTTCTGGCATCAATGGAATATTAATCTTTAAAATCCTCTGTATCAAAGTATGTATTTGAATCCACATTTTAAAGCTTTTTTACATGTCCACCAAGCAGGATGAAATGTCCCTTCATGTCGTTCACATTTCCAACATGCTTTCTGTTATTCTAGCCATGCATAATCTTCTGCTATACGTATGTCTGTAGCAATAAACTACTGTCCCAAGTTTGCTGGTCCCCCTCAGGCTTTACACAATCTAATATGACACTGTTTCATAGAATTTGCTTAAAGAAGCAATGGAAGCTATCTATGACTGGGTTTACACGTTTCATTAAACCATGGTTTCTTGAACTACGGTTTGTAGAACAAAGCACAACTGGCAAAGGTAAAAACTCTGGTTGCACTTAAATATAAAGAAAACCTTCTTGACAGTAAGATTTGTACAACAGTGTAACAGCCTACCTACAGAGGCATGGGCTCTGCATCTCTGGTGGTTTTGAAGAACAGCTAAGTTCTTCTTAAGTTTCTATATTCAGTGTTGAAGCACAAGCCAGACTGGTTCTGTCGTCACATTAAGCAGGGATTTGCAAAAAAAAAAGAAAAAAAAAGATTGAATAAACTACATTTGGTTGGACTTGCACAACGTGCTAAGCCAAAATCAAACAAATAATATTATGGCTTGGTCTGCTATGTGAATTCTGTCTCTTTGGGGTTCTGCTGGTCCTAGTGGAAGTTGGGCCCTAGTACAAAATATGGCAAAGAAGGGAGGAACGATTACATAAAAAGACATAATTTTATTTTTTAGAAAAGTTCTAGCATGCAATATTTGGGTTTACAGTTTCAGCTCAGAAGACCTAATCTTTTCCAGTACATTCCATCCCGCCCTCCCAGTTCTCCCCAAGTCAGTCATTTCACCTAGAGTATTTAATCATGCTTTCCTGAATAAATCAGAGTTGGTTAGTCATTCTGAGGGAGGATTACAACTGAACAAAAACCAAAAACAGCTTGATTGACTATCAAAATTTGTCCTGGATTCTGCTCCTCATTTTGCCTGCATAAGCCCTCAAGAGTGGTTGTGTTACCCCAACGTTTGAGAATCCCTAGAACATATAGTTTAACATTGAATTATGAGAAGCTGTATCTTTTCTTTCTTATCCAACCCTAACTCCAATGAAATCATTCATTTTATTCATCAAGATGGGCAGGTGTGATAGTGCAGCACACCTAAAAAACTGTCAGACCTTCGATGGCACCATTGGAGCCACCTTCTTGACTTTTTGACCCTACCCAATTGTGTAGGGTCACACAATTTGATTTATCATGTTGGGAGGTCCCAAAGCTGGAGAACCCCTGCATTAAGCCATTAACCATCATCAACAACCCATTATGGTGGGATTCACCCATGACTCAAAGCCCAAAGCAGATAAGCATAGGATGGCTTGTGTTTCTGTCAGGCCCAGCCCAAGACCAACGATGAAACAGTCCAGTCTAGTACAGTTCCTTTTCTTACTTACACCTTATAGACAGAATCTTGCCAAACTCAATCTATACTACAGCAACTAGCGGATATACCCTGAGAGATTCTAAGGAGTGGCTATCCTGAATCTCTTACTCTTCTCATGCTCCCCCTGCGGACTGTGTTGTCTCTCGTCTCCTTTCCCCTCCTGGAATGCACCCCCTCCCTCCTGATAGCCTTGATCTCCCACATCGCTCTCCTCCTCCAAGATACCTTCCATCACAGCTTCACTTGCAATCAGCCCTTGAACATTTCCGTCTGAGCAATTGATCCCTTCACCTTGCGGTCACTGCAGCGAGACCAAGCCTGTCAGCTTTGATGATGCATCACCATTATCTTGGCAGATGCAATAAATTGCTTGTGTTGGGTGGAAATCTGCTGTTGGGTAGAGAATATCAGGCTAGCATCAGTGTTTCTGAACCTTAGCAATGTTAAGATCTGTGGACTTCAACTCCCAGAATTCCCCAGCCAGCCATGCTGGCTGGGGAATTCTGAGAGTTGAAGTCCACAGATCTTAACGTTGCTAAAAACACTGGGCTAGATGAAGTAAAGACAAAATGTTCTCATATGGAAGCTGTTCCACAGCCGGTCTTTCTCTCTCTATCTCAAAGTTTTGATTTATGAGCAGGGTTGGCTGACAAGGTTTCCTTGACTTCATAATTTCTCTTTGATACACAGCTCTTGCCCAAAAGAAATGTCAGGAAGGATTTCTAGCACTTGCCCCCTTGTATTTTATGACCCTTGATTGCAATCTCTGCCACCCACACAGCCACTCTCTAATGATCCCTTTCAACTTGGATTTCACAGAGCTTTTCCAGCTTAGTGGGAAACTAAAACAAATTCGCCGATGCCAAGATTGGCCTGAAGGAAAATGTTAACAAGCCGAGCCACCACTTGTATGATTTTTTTTAGCAGTGGAGCCATAAACAGGAGGTGAATAATAAAGTTAATCCACCTCACCACATTTGGACATTTTAAACGGTTGAGGGGACGTATATTTTTATGTCTCCTGGATCAAGAGCATTTCTAGCTACCCCATCTTTGGAAATACGAACAACCCTTGAGAGGGCTGGAGGGTGCATTTGTTCATTCGTTCGTTTGTTCGTTCATTCATTCATTAAATTTAGACACCCCAGATTCCAACTGACTCTGGGTGGTTCATGAATAACAACATAAAAAGCCAATACAAACCAACACCAAGATGGGATCCAGACACAATATACAGACAACAACAAAAATAACAAACACACCCAACAATTTTGAGAAAGTATTAAGGGGGACTCTCGCAATGGCTGCCCCACGATTGTCACAGTCACCAAACCCCCAACTGAGTAGAAGGCCAAGTGAAGGGGCTGTTCCTCTCTAGCTTCCCATGACAGTCTGTATCATCGTAGTTTATCTTGGAACTTTTTCCTGGGCAGGTCAACATGTACTTCCTAAGAAAGTCCTGGTCATTTTATTTTCTAAAAATGCCTGTGAAGAGGCCCAGAAAATATGAGTATATTTGAAGCTGGTTCCAGTTTCCTATTTATGATTTTAAACAGAAGAATGGAAGCAGGTAATTTTACTGCATCTGGTAATTGTGTCAACCAGGAGCTGAAGGACCATACAGAAGACATTGCAAATAAGGGGACGCTGACATTGGACAAAGTGGGCATTCTATGAAATGTGGAATTAAAGAACATAAAAGGAAGGTTAAGGTTAGACACCTAGGACAGCCAGCCCTGGTTGAACCCCAGTCACAAGGGCTGAATCACAACACAGATTTGGAGAACACCAGCATCCAGACATGATGCAATGGGGGTGTCTTCAGAATTATTTGAAAAGCAATCGGAATTGATAATCATCCAAGTAATTTAAATTGGAAGGAAGGTTATCAGCTGTTGTCTGCATAGGGGTTAGTGCTGGGCTGTGGGCTTCCTCTCCATTGAACATGGCCAGGATATTGAGGATGTGACATTTGTTGGGTTTGGTTTCGGAGCAACTCTTTCAGAACATGGCCAGCAAATGTTAATGCATCATTTCACCAAGAATAATCAGTTCTTTGCAGTGCTCCTCTACTGTTGGTTATTTTTCCCTCAACAGTGGGGATGATATTACAGTGATGGAGGAACTGAGTGATGAATGATATACTACAGTGATGGAGAAATTGAGACCATGGAACAGTGGCTACATACACCTAACAAAGTTTGCATATTTAAGCAATGACATATGCTGTGCATGTTTAAGTGGCTTAGCACATGATTGGAACTTAGCCAGTGTTGCATCCAAGAGCACAGGTATGCAATTTGGTATATCACTCTGTGGAAGTGAAAGTTGGACGTTGAAGAAGCAGGATAGAAGAGTATTTTGGTATTGGAGAAGACCCTTGAGAATACTGTAGACAGCCAAGAAAATGAACAAATGGGTCATCAAACAAATCAATCCAGAGTTCTTACTCAAAGCACAAATGACCAGGCTCAAATTATCCTAGTTTGGACACACTATGCAAAGACCCAGCTTTCTGGAGAAGGTTCTGATGCTAGGAAAGGTGGAAGGAAAGAGAAGAAGAGGATGACCAGCAGCAAGGGGGATGGACTCAGTTACATTGGTGATGGGGATACCAATGAAAAAGCTGAGTGACCAGGTTAGGGACAGATCATCAGGGAGAAGAACTGTCTATGTGGTCACTAAGAGTCAACAATGACATTATGGCACATAATCAATTAATCACATCACCAACAATCCTTTGTGATTAGTTATGTAGCTAGGAATCATGGGAGTTGAAGGCTAAAAATATTTGGGAAGGACAACATTTCTACTTTTCTACTGGCAGAATTTCCTGGTTGTTCAGTTAAAATTTCATCCAAGAGTTTGTTTGTATTTTGCATTCCCCCACCTGCTGCTGGTTATTGGAGAAAAAATAGAAAAAAATGACCATTGATATAGGATGCAATGAAAAAGCAACAACAGCGTGCTCAAGCTGTTAAACAAATCAGTGGGAAATCATACTTCTGAGGCCCTGAGCGGAGGTTAGCCATTCAAAGGATAGTGAAGAAGTGACTTTTTTGGAAGACTTTTGGGAACTGATTGGGTGGAGTTAATCAGCACCAGATTTGTCATGATGGTTTGCATCAAGTACCACTTCAGATATTATGGTTTAAGCTTGCAGGCAGACCCCAGGATTGGGTTGAGCAATACATTTTATCCATCATTTGTTGGTGGATGATCTGTCATTTCATAGATGAGAAAGAATGAAAAGGTATAAAATCTTTTTATTCATTGGACAAGTACAGGTGAAGAGGTTGGGGGACCCGCCGCTGAGCTTCCCCTTCCGTGTAAATGCTGCAATTTAAGGCCAAAAGTCTTAACATGTCTGCTGGACGTCTGATCTTGCTTCAGGTCAGCTGGACAGTTCTTCGTCTTTCACCAGAATAGGAACATGCTCCCCGCCTTCACATAACAAAGAGTAAGCAGCACGAATCACCGAAGTCCTAGAGCTTTCGGAAAGGCAGCCAGATTCTAGAAGTGGAATGAGCTCCGTTTCCATAGCCTGTATATAGGACAACGTTCAGCATTGGAAAAGTTACAACTGGATGCAAAACAGGCTGGTTCAGAACAACGACCTTTGACGCTGCCCAGATTGCATGGTCTTGCAACATCTAGAACCTGCAGCTAGCATGACCTCTTACACTGGGTCAAGATAAGAAGCAAGTCTCTGTTACAGTCTTCTGAGTGAGTGCTTTTCCTTGCACTACCAACTAGGGAACTGTAATGGTATGTGGGAATGACCTTGAGAGATAGGAGGAAGTACCACAGACTAGACAACGGTCAGACAAGAGGCAGCTGAGTCCGCAGAAGGAATGGGGGTGTGGCAGACGTCTCAGAAGGGACCCTCCTTAGTTTCTTTGACTGTAAAGGCTTGCAAGATTCCGTTACTATAACCTTACGATAAAGTCAGAGCTAGAACTTCTGGTGTGCTTCTTGTCTGGACTACCTCGTAAGGCCAACAATAACTCCGTACCTGGCATTGCACCAGCATCTTTCAAGGGCAGGAGGAAACAGTCCCAAAAGACAGACAGTCCTCCGCTAGTGTGATTATAAGATTATCTTTGATGGACAAACACAATGAACACTGAAGAAACATGACAGGAGTGGTGGTTGAAAAAAGCCAGAGAAGAGTAGATAAGCTGTGGGATTTTGCTATCTGGGGAAAGTAACCCAATGAATTGGAATTGCAAAAAGAAAACGATGGGATAAACTTAAATTGGGCATGTATTTGAATATTAGGAGAAGGGAGAAGAAAGTCCTCTGTGTACCATCTTTTCCCTGGGAAACATTTCACACAATCTCCATCGTGGCCACAACCCATTTTCTCCCTAAGCCCCAAATATGGTTGCTCCAGACCCTCAGATGCATTGCGCGATCTTTTTTTTTTTTTTTCCCCATGAGGACAATCTATAGCAATGTTTTTCAACCTTGGCCACTTTAAGATGTGTGGACCTGCTGGCTGGGGAATTCTGGGAGTTGAAGTCCATACATCTTAGTGGCCAAGGTTGAAAAACACGGATCTATAGGTACCACTATAGTATTAGTGTTCAGCTGGCCAGGTTTTAACTGAGTTTGCTTCCTTTCTGACTCCATCATCATTCTCTCAGAATTATTTATTTATTTATTATTAAATTTATATGCCGCCCATCTCCCCCAGAGGGTGACTTACAATTAAAAACCAAGACAATAAAACGATAAAAATATAAATATTCCCCGATTAAAACACATGCTATGATGCTATGAGGAATGCACTTAATGCAAGCTGCATTGGTGGACCACATCTCCCAGCCAGTTTATTTTTTCATCTTCACTCTTTTTTACCTCCAAAGTCTTCCTCCTTTCTCTTCCACCTCCACCACTACCAGATCACCAGGAGGAGTCTGGTAGCACCATTTCTGACCAACAAAAGCGTATGTCTTTAATAAAACATTAGTAGTCATTAAATATGCTACCCGATTCTTTCTGATGTTTTGCTAGAAGACTCAACATGGCTGTCCTCTTATTACCACTGGATGTAGCTTTTGGCCATGAATTTCAAAGACTGCATCTCCTCACTAGATTGGCTCAGGAACCAAGGATGGTCTGCTTGGGCAAAAATATAGAGCTGGGAGCAAAATTACCGTCTGGATCTGAAGCTTCTGGTTCAGCATCGCCACCTGCAGTTTTAAAGCCTCCATGTCCTTCAGCTCATCCAAGCTGGAGTAGAAGAGGAGTGGGGCAGGTCCCAGTAAGTCTAGATCCCCGCATGCTCGCTCTCCAAGGGAAGCATGACAGAAGCACAAGGAGTCATTGTCACCGTCCTCATGGTCACCCCTGCAGAGTGAGGCAGGGGGGAGAAACTCCGTATGGGACACCATGGCTGTCAGAGAAGGAAAAGCATATTTATTACAATATTAAGCACCCAAAGACTGACACAGAAGAGGAGTGGAGTCCTTGGGGTTCTCTGAGCTTGGTTGTTTTCTTGCAAACCTTTCGTTACCCAGCAAGGTAACATCTTCAGATGTTTGCAAGAAAACCACCAAGCTCAGAGAACCCCAAGGACTCCACAGTTCAACCCTGAGCTACAGAGATTCTCTTCTATTGGTAGAAGAGGAGGCCAAGAATCACCAGTTCCCTGCTCCCTAATGGGCTTAAATCTACAACTTCAGCATCAAGAGATACAGATTTTTGTTGGGTTTACTAAAAAAAAAAAAAATCTCCATTGCAGGCCCTCAGTGGGAAACATTTGCAGAGCAATGAAGCTGAGAAGGAAAACACCGTAGGAACACCTGCAGGCTTTTGTTCCCTGTTTTGTTAAGAGAGGCGCTCAATTGCTGGCGAGGGTTACAGAACTGCTCCACAGAATGAGACAGCTTTGTTTCAAAGCAAAGTGGAACAGCTGCAGGAGCCCGGAAAAGCCAACCAGGGTTCTCTCAAAAGAAGCGATGGTGGTTGCAATGCCGTCTCTCTGTTATAGGAAGCAGATGTCTGCTAGCAAATTCTTTTCAATAGGAAGGAAGAGTGGAGAACCAAAGATGTAATGCCCTGGATGCTACAGCTGATTGATATTCATCATCTGGATCTTTACTATTTCTATTTGTATATGTATATTCCCTGTGCTGGTATTATTGGAGAAAATTATGCTTTGTACGGCGCAGGTCCTCCAGTCTCTGTTTAAGAGTCTGACTCTCTAAGCTGCTTGTTCTCGGTTGTCTAGAGCTTGCCCTGAAGGTTTCTGTATAGGTTCAGAAGCTCCCTTCTAACATTTCTTTCTTTTTCCTCTGCCGGAAGATGGTGACATAGAATATTTTTCACAGCTTGCAAGGAAAGCGAGAAGCAACACTTCAGACACTGGTTAAATATTATTAGAAGAGTTATTATTATTCATTAATATTATTAGTTATTATTGATTGGTAGAATTCATGGGAACCTACAAGCCCCAAAGTGGGTAGTGTAGAATCCTGCCCCAAGGCCAGGGGGGGGAAATATGCAGTATAGGTCCAAAAATAGACTTTTCACCATTAAAGAAATATAATTTCCTTCAAGCTATACTTCTCTTGCTGAACTCATGGCGACACCCATATTGTACTCTTAGCAGCAATACAGAAGTGGTTTGCCACTGTCACCTGGGACCTGTCAACTAGACCTCCCACTCTAGTTTGGGTACTGTATTTCCTGGTGATCCCCCATCCAGACTCAACCTGGTCTGATCCTGCTTAGCTTTCCATGAGTCAATAAAAAAAAAATAAAATGCCCCGTGAACCCCCCAAAGGAAGTAGAAGCCACATCTGCTTTGCCTGTCTTTCCTGATGTGACCCCTGTACAAAATTGCTGCCCACCACCCTGAAAGGTGCTCTCCCCAGCTGGAAGTTAACAAGCAGAATCTGAACCCTGATCCAATAAGGAAACTCCTTAGCTATGAATTTCCAGGCCATGCTGGCCTAATTCATTTAATGAAGATGGAATGGCTTTGGTCATCTCACTTCGCTCAAAAGTTGTGCTGAGTTCTAATGTGATTTATCTATCTTTGAGCCAAAGATGTTGTGTGATGTCATATGAATCCAGTCCACTGTGATTTACTTAATAAATCATAGTTAAATAAGTCATGGCTTAATGTGACATGTGAACCTAGCAGGGTCTGCACTCATGCATAACTGAGCCAAGATTTCCAACCATGGCTTTTTGGGCAATCCATAGCATTCTGGCTCATACACAACCCTACCTGATGGGATCATATGTCACACTTAGCCAGAAGCAAAACTTGATGGCTTATCATGTGATAGGTCTGGTTTGTCTCTGGTTAAATCCCATTGAGGTAGCCCGAAAGGAGAAGAAGCAGGATCCATGTGATATATTCTAAGATCTGCAGCCCATGCGACCTTCCAAGTAGAATGTTGAAAACAGCCAAGGAATCCAGGACCAGCAGATTGAACAAGGATATAGTTCCTAAATTTTGTTAGTGCATCTTTGGTTCTAACAGTGCCCTCAAGTGGTAATCCTCACCTTCTCGCATCTGGTGTACTTTGTTGAGAAGCTGCTCTACTACCTCCTGCAGGACCTGCAAAGTCACAAGGCTTTCGTACTCTCTGTCCCAAGTTGGGTTTTCTCCAAGTGCTTCTGAGAGGAAAACAGGAGGAAAGATTGGAGCTGAGACAGCATTGCTCCACACCAACAACTTCTAGACTGCAATCTCACCAATACTGATGTGTGAAGGTCCCAAAGGCAAGCAAGTGGATTGAGACAGAATCCAAACGTGAAATATTTGGTGGGAGAGAGGATTAAAAAAAAAATCAAATAAAAAAATGTCATGGCACACACAACCTGCATTCTTCCTCTTAAAGCCATTTCAGACTCAGACAATGCCACGCTACCAAAACACAGATCTACTGATCTGCAAAACTTCACCATACAGTCGATACCAAATCAGCTTCTCAGGCAAAGTTTCTTACTAATCCTGCTTTACAATCAAATGGGTCCAGCAAGAGGAGGCAGAACGTTTCTCAAGATCTATCAGCGTGGGAGATCTCCAGAAGATTTGCAGAAGATCTGCAAGGGCCTATAATTTGTCATGGCTTAACAGTAGCCATGTCTAGAGCTGAATTAGAAACAGAGATTGATTGGGCTGAATAAGGGTCATCCCCATGCATGGCTTGCATAAGGTAACTGCTTCTACTTGAGTTGCTATTTTGGAACTTACTCACTGGTGAACCTTGGATAAGGGGCCCACTCATGAGCTGCAGTGAGCATCAAGGAAGAAGACGACCAAACTGGTGTTCCTCTTTAAATGGCTTCATCTTCCCTCTCCCCCCCCCCTTTTTTTGTCTTTTTCCGTGGCATCTTGTTAGGCTGTAAGGGCAAGGGCTGTCTTTGAAAGACTGGTTGTTACCTTAATTTTGCCTCTTTAAATATAGTTCCAATGATGCAGGTCCTACACTCCCTTGCCAATCCATGCCAAGGATGGGAGTGAAGAAAATGGTTCAGTGACCTGTCCTCACCTGGGCTTTCAGCTTTCATGTGCTGAGAGATGAGCAAATGGAGATCACGTAGATGTGCCAACTCCTGTTTCACCTCAGTTGGCGTAAAGGCTGGCGTAGGAGAGAAGAACTGACCATATGCTTAAGGAAAGGGGACAATACTGTATGTTTCTTCTCAGACAGACCATGGGAAGGCTTTCCTATTAGTTTCCTTACTACAGTGTTTTTCAAACTTGGCAACTTTAAGATGTGTGGACTTCACCTCCCAGAATTCCCCAGCCAGCACATTTGCCAAGTTTGACGAACACTGCCTTACTTTATCTACAGCAGCTTTTGCAAGCTGATGTCCTTCAGATGTATCAAGACCCCAAGCCCAAGAATATCCAGCTGCCTGGGGAATATATTATATATAACGTGTGGCATAGGGGAAAGCTATTTCATATTAAGCCTATACTGCGTAGAATCAAAACAGAATTGTTCTGGGAAAGCAAAGGAGTGAATACTCCAGTCCCAGATGAGGGAAAAATTGGTCAGTGGACGTGAAAACAAATAGTCAGACCTTGGGGGAATGGTGGAAATATGCACAATGTATTGCGATTATTTATTTCGCAAGATGTATAATCTCTTCCCCTCTACCCCCAAAGATCTTGGGTGGCTAATAGCAAAAATAAAATAAGAAACCATAGGAGAAATGATACAGTCTAGGGTGTAAATCCATAATCACCCAGGGCCAAAGGTGCAATGGAACAAAACTCATTTTGCTTTCCAAAACTAAGCAATGTTTGGTGCTGCATGAACCTTTGTAGGAAGATCTACCATCTCAGTGACACCTGCCTCAGCACCAGGGAAGACCAGACAGGTAGCCCTGGTCACACCTGCAGTCACATTTTTCTTCTTCTGCAAAAGCTCAAATTAGCAAAAGGATACAGTTGCTTGCAACTTCTCTAAAAAGTGGCTCTTGGCGACAGCTGCCTCGGGGGTTGTTTTCACGTCCTGGGACTTCTCCAACAACCTTTGTGTCAAGAAGCAGAAGAGTGGGAAATAATCAGCCAGCAAAAAGTAGGATATGCTCCATCCCTTAGACCTGGCCTGTTACTGCCTTAAAAAGAGACTGGACTATTCTTGCCTGTAACTCTTACACTGTCCATAGAATCATAGATTTTGAAGAGTTCTTAGAGGTTTCTAGTCCAACATCCTGTGCAGTGCACGATCCCTTAGAGGAGTGGTTCTCAATCTTGGCAACTTTAAGATATGTAGACTCCTAGAATTCCCCAGCAGCATCTGTGGACTTCAACTCCCAGAATTTCCCAGCCAGCATGTTGGTTGGGGAATTCTGGGAGTTGAAGTCCCACATCTTAAAGTTGCTGAGATTGAAAAACACTGCCTTAGAGCGTCTCTGATAGATGAGCATCCAGCTTCTGTTGAAGATATCCAGCATGGAGAATTCATTATTTCATGTGGCAACCTGTTCCATCAGCTGACTAGGTGTACAAGCAGGACATTCCTCCTGATATCTACCCTGAATCTGTTTCCTTGTAATTTTAACTCACTGGTTCTGGTCCTGTCTTCTGGGTCAATAAAGTTCACTTCCTCTTACAGTCCTTCAGATAGTTGAAAACTGCTACCATATATCTCCCTTCGGTTATCTCATCTGAAGGCTAGCCCTACCCATGTCATTTTTAACTATTTTTCATTAGGCTTGGTTTTAGAGTGCCCAATTAGCAGGGTTTCAAATGCCTTGAAATGGTCTTGTTTGAAACAAGTATTAGATGTAATATAGTGGCATTCCAGGTGGGGTTGAACTATAACCTTCCATAGACCCACCCAGGCTGACATGTTACAGGGCTATGCACAGCCTGGTAGAAGATACTGGTAGTTTAGTTTAAGGACATTAGAAAGATTACACAGCACCCAACCATGGGAGATCTGCATGGAATTGTTGTCTGCTGGAAGGTCCCTGTCATCTCTAGTTACAAAACTCAGTTTAGCAGTTTATGGAAAGATCTCTCTTTGTTGAAGATCCTGGGATGTTACTGCCATTCATAACGCTGGGTATTCAGGCTGTGCTAAGCCTTAATCTGATTTTATGTGGATTTGGATCACCATGTTGTGTGAGTCCACTGTTGTCTGTAAACTGAGGTTTCCACCTTAAGATGTTGCATGGACCCAGGCAATGGTGATTTATGCAGCAAGCCATGGCTTAGTGCAATCAGCAAATCTCATCAGCTTGATCTTGGCTTGAGAGGATGGCAGGTTACAAAGTTGGCCTATGACCAAAGTTGACTCCAGGGGGTCAAAGCCAAATGACTCACTACACCGCTGTCTGTATGAGGTTTCTGCCACACCTCTGGAGGTACCAGAACTAAGATTGCAAAATCACTTCTGAATCCCACATCCACTCTGCAAACTAACCCAACCCGGGCCATCCCACCAAAAAGACCCCCAGATTTCTCCCACCAGCCTTTCCTATTGACTTACAGGATCAGGTTAGTTTGGATAGGCTTACCTGACATACTTGGTAAATGCTTTCTGATAAGGAAGGGGCAGTTTCAGCGAAGACCTGCAAAGAATTGCATGGCATTATCATTCCTGGTGTATGCACAACCCACAAATATTTGAAACCAGGAGAAATCTCTACTCGTCTTTGGATCGAATTTCAGTAAAGACAAGTAAGCAAACGATGCCATGGAAGCCAGCTGCCCTAAGATAAATGTATGGCCCCATTTACCTAATGGATTGAAGACCTGTTTGCACTTGCCACCTATGAGCAGAGTGCCTATAGACATAGACTTTGTATGGACAAGTACAATGAAATATGGGACTCATTTTTATAAAATACAGTAGGTTAAAAAAAAGTATGTTAGTTACATAAATGTATTAGAAATAAATATATACTTGCGTGTTTGTATTAGAAAATTACATATAGAAAATAACTATTGTAATGACACATATTTTTATGTATATTTTTCTGTTATATTCTTTTCACTTATTTCTTTTTTAAGCGCTTGTTATGCATTTTTATTTGACAATATATGTCTTTTTGTGATTTGTTCCCCCTTATTTTTTCTTTTTCTATTATTTTAAAAGCAATAAAAATACATTTGAAAAATTGAAGCCAGCTGCCCTTCCGTAATCCTGGTGTGACTATCCCACTGTTTCGAGATCATTCTCTTCACCCTCAACCAAGAAAGCAATTCTGCCCGTTCCCTTTGTTCAAATGAGCACCTTCAGGGAGCTCCAAAAATTCAGCTAGCTCAAAACGGTGGCCATTATCACGCTATAACTGTTGGCTTTGCACCAAGATCCCTGGCTATCTCTTAGCTTCCAGGCTTCATTTAAAGAGCAGGCGTTGGTTTTTCAAACGTAAGATTCCACAGCATTGCTGTGTCAAGGACCAGCACGGCCACATCAGCTTTAACATTCAGCTCAGATACCCTGCTCTCCACACCATGTTGCAAGCATATCACGTGAAGCTTTCTCAGTTTGGATGCTACGGCTTTAAACCAAAGATTTTAGCACTTTCAGATTGTCAGCACTTCAATGCTTTCCGATACTGCATTCCTGCTCCTATTCGCTCCAACGCAGCCAAGGTTTGTGGAAGCCACAGATTATCCTCACATGGAGGGCCATAAACTCTGCAGTGACCCTTTATAGCTTGCAAAATTGCTTTGGAAGCTTGAGATGTGCCCGGCTTCCTCCTGCTTGGCATCAACCTGTTTTATCCAAACAGACTTTTAATCACCTGCTCTGTTTGTGGAGGCTTTAATTTTTGCAACCGGAAAAATCCAAAGTCATAAAACATTCATGCTACTATTTATTTCTACCCAGAGGGTAAGAAGCGTTAGGTGGAGTAGCATCAGCCTCATGGTGAATTAAAACAAAACAATCCTTTCTGCAGGATGTGCTACAGCAGAATTAAAGACTGGGTTCCCATGTTACATGAACCATTGGCTGGATTCACACAACCACCATCACCCCAACTGGAAATAAACCACGCTGTGATTTAGCGCAACGTGTGAACCCATCAAAAGTGACTGAATGGAAATGAGGAAAAAACCTACTTATTGAAGCTAATCCATGTCTAAACAGAGATAGGGACAGATTCGCAGAAATTTCAGGACTGCTATTTAGAGCTATACCATGAATCCAGCAAAACAAAAACATTATAAAAACATAACTTTTTAAAAAATCAGTTCTTATACATGCTTGGATTGGGCTAGGGGACTGAAACATGCAGGAAATACCTTTAAAGGGCTCCAAAACTAAGAGACCCTGAAATTAAATTTCAAGAAAGAAATAGGGCACCGGATTTCTTTCTGTGTAATTTATGCTAAGTTTAAATGCTGTTCTCTCACACACATAACAAAACCTAGGGCGTATGCTAGATTGTAAACATTCAGGATTTTACAAGAAATGGCACACTGTCATGTACAAAAATCTGGCCTCAGTTGGGCCAAGAATGACTCTTCCCTTTTTAACACCTATATGTGCAAGCCCAACCATGATGGTTTCTAAACCTTAATCTGTAGCCTACTGCAATAGAATGACCTAGCCATTGTGTTGCGTTCACCAAACACAAGCCATGGATTAATGCCAAGTGTCTGTTCAGACAGTGCTAAGTCAGGTCCAAAGGAAAAGCAAATCTGTCTTGAGCTTTGGGGGGCAACCTACCCATTTTCTTGAAGAGTGGATGTTGGAGGCATCATCCCTTTTGTTGGCGGGTCTCTTCTTGGAGGGCATGGTCCACCTAAAGCCTCCCCAACAGGATCTACCTTAGATACCAGGAGACCAGTCTCTGCAAAGTCCCCTCCATCTATACATGAAGGTGACGCCGTTGCACGACGCAGACATTTGGAAAAGCCCAACTGCAAGCCAGGTTCTGCAGCAACACGGACCTTTTCACGACTCCCTTCGGCTGTTTTTGCCTGCGGCTTCAACTTTGGAGAGGCAACCCCTGCCGGTGATAACTTCTTCCCAGGAACTTTTGCTCTTCTGGAGCTCCACCCAGCTGGTATTTTCACCGGTGGCCTTTTCACGTTCACATCAGTTTTGTAGGGAGCCTTTAACATGTACGCCGTGGGCTTTTTGGAAGACACAAGCTTTCTACTCACAGGAGACATCTGGGCGGTCTCGGGGACCTTCTCCTTAGAATTACTTGCTGGCTGTTCCAAAGCCGCATGACTCACAGGTTTCTTACCTACAGCTTCGGAGACTTTTATAGTCTCGCATGGCACTTGTCGGAACTTTGACCGGACTCTTAATGCTTTCTCTAAGGCTTTGTTAAGCAGTTCCAGTTCTTTAAGCTCCTCAACCGAAGGCTCTGTTTCTACATCTGTAGGAGGCAAGTCAAAATGAATTGATTATATTGCTAATATTGATTGAGATTTTTCAGGATCATTTCTCTCTGAATGGAGATAGTAAACGAAGCCCATTTTCACCATTAGTGAAGTGGCATGGATCCTGACATCTCCAATAAAAAGTCCAGGACTCCCTGGACTCTCTGGAATAAGGGAAAAAGGGAGACTGGTAAAGAATGACGCTTCCCTCACCATGTTTCTCATTTTTGCTATCTTCAGGAATGGGGTTTTCTCTCTGAGAGTTCCTAGCAAAGAGAAAAGAAAGAGAGTATACATATTCAGCAAATAACAGATGTGCCCATCAATTCCTCCAGATCATCCCAGTTTCTATATGTTGCTCATGATTATAATAATTTCATCTCACCAGAGAGCCTAGGAAAGATTGGGAGATTCTTGGCATTTGGATAGTCACTGTCTGGATGCCTTTCTTCCATCTGGAGGGGGAGGAAGAGGAGGAGGAGGGGAAGGGGAAGGGGAAGGAGGACCCATTCTTTGCTTCCCCTGTGCTAAAGACAAAGGTACACTTTGAAAAAAAAACTTCAAAATTACTCCCGGCTTACCAGTCCCCAAGAAGTGCGTGGCACTGTTGAAGCTTTTGCTGGAGTTTTGTCCTCTGCTCTGTGCAGTCTTCCAAGGCCTGAGTGAAGAGGGAAACCAGCCTGAAAAGAGCCAAGAAAAGGCTATTTTTCCTTAACATTCCAGAAGAAGGGATGTAGATATGAGCTTGGCTTCTGGGGATTCCATGCAAACGTCTAGGTGGTGTGCTTGGCAACAATTCAGAAGTGGTTTATCCCTACCTTGGTTCAACTCTCAGCCTCTATTGCAGCCCTGAGGTTTCTTAGTCACCTCCCATCCAAAGACAAGTCGGATCCTACTTAGCTTTTTGCAAGATCAGCCAGTTGGCTACTTGTTGCCACCTAAGCTTTTCCCAACCACCTAGCCAAGAACTAGACAGTGTATGGCCTGAATGCTTACTTGGATTCACCAACTTTCAATGATCAAAATTCTTGCAAAATTCTTCCTTTAAAAAAGTTATAAAAGCAGAATGTACAACCCATTGCAAGCTTCCCAAAGGGTGCATTTTCAGTTCCAACAGCACGGGTAGGCTCTGAGAACACTGAAATGTTTTCGATCGATCAATTTCCCAGGAAAACATTCGGGTTAGATGCTGTCTCCCACTTTAAAAATAAAAAGTACTTTTTCCTCTCAAGAATGATCTGATGCAGAGACTTAACAATTGATCCCTAAAGTTTTGTGCGGGAAGGATGTCCCCTTAAATATAGAATTCATCCTGTAGAAAGTGAAAAGAACGCCAAGCAAAAACAGTGCATCTGACATGAGCTTTCAAAATGCTGGTTGGGGAATTCTGGGAGTTGAAGTCCACACATCTTAAAGTTGCTAAGGTTGAGAAACACTGCTGCAGGATGATAATAATCATGATGATGATGATAGGAGGAAGGAGGAGGAGGAGAGGAAGGGGAAGAGGAAAAGGAAGGGGAAGAGGAAGAAGAAGAAGAAGAAGAGGAGGAGGAGGAGCAAGAAATACCATTTGCCTGGACACAAGAATTGGTGGGACCGCAAAACAGACAAAGTAAATAAAGTACCATTATTTAGACTTAAAACTCAAGGAAGTACCAAGGGTAACAGGCGCCTTGGGTGCAATCCCAAAACATCTGGAGCACCCCTGGAAGACCATCGGCCTTGACAAATCACCGCCAGTCCATTGCAAAAGGCAGCTTGACTTGGAACAGCTTCCATCCTGCGACGATCCCTTTGACCCCCTCAAACAACATCTGCCCCTCCCGGGTCCTTGGGAAGGACCCGAGAGGAGGACAAAAATGCCGAGCCCATCCTAAACATCTGGCTGACTGTGCGACCGGCCCTAATCATCGTCATCTTTGAAAATAATAAGCCATCACCTCTGGGCACAGCCAGCGGGCAGCATGAGGAGGGCGGGCGAAGCGCTGCCCGGAAGCCGCCGCGAACCTCCGCGCAGGAGCCGCTCCGCGCAAAGCAGCGAAAGGCGAACTGACTTCGGGTCCCCAGCAAAGGCGAGAGGACGATAGAGGCGCCCAGCCCTAGAGCGGCCCTCCCCACTCCGTGCCCCTAGAGATAGAAAAGGATACGACCCCCTTTCTTAGCCGCTCCTTTCCTTCAGGGAGGAGATTGCGAGAGTTACTGGTTTGTTTATTTTTTTAGTTTTAATGTTATGGAGAACAAAGAAGAAGAAAAAATGTTCTAGGAGCGCTATGTCGGACAATCGGGAAAATATCTCCAGGATCGATTAAAAGCCATCGCCGTTTCTTACCTTTTTTATCTCTATGGCTCAGGTCTCGCGCCAGCCCGCGCTTTCGCGTCCTGTCAGGAAAGTGGTGAATCATCTCAAGCGGCTAGGACGGCGGTTGTTCCAGCCTCCGGATATGTCCCGTGTTTTATTTCTCTAATAATAAATGACCTTTTTTGGAGGTGTTTTGGTGTCCAAATTCCTTCTTTTTAGAGTTCCGTCGCCCTGTTGGGTTTTGCAACCTGCCAGGAAGGCGCTAGCAACGGAATGTCTGCTCTTAGCAACAGTTGCTACGCGGAAGACGCTGAGGCCTGGGGCATAAATGTGGCCCTCCAACCTTTTTTTTTTTTTTTTTTAATCCATCCAGCTATTCCAGTTGAACTTCGGATTATAGTATTTGTTTCTGGCTGAGCAAGGCGTCCACAGCCAACCTTCCTGCTTCCTCAACCCAAGGGCATAGCTCTGCCTTCCATTAGAGGTGAACCAGGCTAATTCACCTGGTTCCACAAACTAGGGCTAAAACAAACCATGGCTTAGCAAGAGAGGTGAATCTAAGTCCGGGCGCCACCTTTGCAAAATAAGAATATATAGATGATATTGGAATAAGATGAAGGATTTGCAAAGCCCTGGTAAATTGCCAGGGATTGCATCCCAAAGGAAACCCAAGACAGGAAATGCCGCATGGAAGACTTGGTTGAGGAACGGTTGAAAGCTCCTGAAATGGGAAAACTCACCTGGAAGTGACAGGTGCCTCTGCAGACTGGCTCAGCTTTAGCCATGCAAATAAACCAAGGCTAAACCGCACCTGGAGGATTCTCGGAGCCAGGAGGCCAAATCCTGGCTCAGCCAAGACATCCAAACATTGCTTGGTGAGGCCAATATTTGGTGCTGACCCATTGCTGGAAGAATTTCTTCCCTGTGGTTGGTTCCTTGCTCAGGCCAAACACCAGATGCCATAATTCAGAGTTAAAAAAAAAAAAATTAGCACACAGGCCAAGAGCATTGAGTGTGGTCAGCACTCAATGTGCAATGCTTAAAGTCAGGTATAAACAACTCGCTTGTGCTTGTCTAATTCTAAAATTCCAAGTTTATCTTTCCCTGTAAAGCAGTGTTTCTGAAAGTGTGTCCTAGGACCCCTGGGGGTCCCCCAAGACCCTCTCAGGAGCCCTCTAAATCAAAATTATTGCCCACCTATGTTGAAAAATATCTTAAAGTCCCATCAAACTATTGTGAGAAGTGGTAGCAGTAGTGAATGCATCCATTTTAATTTTTAATACGGTAAATATCAATAAATATAACCCATACAAACAAAAGCTTCTTGGGGGTCCTCCGTAATTTTTAAAAGCGGGAAAAAAGTTTAAGAAACACTCAAAGTATAGCCCAATTTCTCACTTTCTAACTGGTATGCCTTATCTCTGTCACTGGAAGCATAACCGTTTCTTCTCATTCCTTTCTTATCTGCCTACGTGACCCTCTCACTTCTCTATAATGGTGAAACACCCCTTCTAATATGGCATTCAGCTTTCTAATAACTACTTTCCAACACTCTCTGAAAGCACATCTCTTCTAACGGCAGCTGAAGGCACTTCTTCAGGTAGGCAAAATGGCTGTGGGTTCTTCCTCTTACCTCTCTAAGGGCATTTTCCACAGTGGCAATCAAGATCATGCTGCACCACAGTAGAATTAAATATGTGAACCAGCCAAAAGCTGCAGCTGTGCCAAGAAGGAGAGATACCCTTGAGTCAACTCAACAGCTGGGGATTACATCTTGTTTGATTGGCAGCCACAGGAAAGCAGTTGATCCTTGCTTTTTCCTAGCATCCTTACATTCCAGTCTGGTCTGGGATTCTCTGGAGGTCTCCCATCCAAGCACTAACCAGATCTGACTCTGTTTCACTTACAGTATTGAGATTTGCCAAGGTCAGCTAATTGGTTCCCCCTTCTACTATATATTGAGAACAAATATAGAATCACCCAGCAGGGGGCCATCTTCTACAATTTATCCTGATGCTAAATTGTAAATTTAGCTAAATTTCATTTTGAAATTTAAATGGTGTTTAAATTCAGGAAAAAAGTTGGTGGAAAATAAAATTGTCTTGGCATTTTATATACTTGAATATTATGGATATGAATATGCTTTCCAACACCTTGCTTATAACTAGCAAACTGAAGAAGACTAGATCCATAACTTACAGGAGCTGTTCCAGAATTCTTCATGCAATTATCATGTGTTGGGTGTGTTTGAAAAGCTTATTCATAAGTCAGTTTTCTTCATTTCCGAATATTTTGAAGCCAAATTTGGAGAAAACATGTGTGCTGTTACTTCCTTTAACTATATTGCCAAAATCTATAATTCACTAGCCTTTGCCATATAATCTGGAAATTCTCAAACAGCAAGTGATGCAAATTGTATAGACTTTGTGACTTAACTAACTGTATTTTATTCAGAAGATCATGGGTAACACAATTATGGTTTAACATGATGTGTGAATCCAGCCACTGAAAGAGATAGAAAATATCCAAATTAAAAAATATAGTTCTGGAAATCTTCTGAACTATGGAGGTTAAAAATCCTTTTCTATTAAAAAGCAGCAGTTTGGTCCTATGAAGAATTGCTACTCATGTTCCTATCTTTATCTTTGATAAAGACCACATAGTTAATAAGATTAGCTCACTGCACAGCAATTAAACAGACTAATGTTTCTTGAACATTCCCTGAATTCTTTGAAAATTGCTCCCAGTGATAATTAACTAATGTTATTTTTAATTCAAAAATAATTTAAATAGTAGTTAGAAATTGGCATTGAAACTCATATAATACGGTTTATGAATTCTAATTGAATATCAATGCTTCAATTACACCATTGCATTTTCTAAGAGATTAGTGTATTTTATTAGGTTCCCTGAATTGGTTCCTGGTTAAAATGATCCTGATGTCCACTGGGGGCAAAGTAAGGAATTATACAGATATCCTCAACTGTTCTGCAATCTTTCAGCAACTCACCCAAATGAAATTCTGTGTTGTGTGGACAGCAGATTATGACCCATATGGATTTGTGGTGAACACTAAGGAGGTAGAGAGAGGCATCTGTGGTGCTATATATTCCTTGAGTAAGGTTGGAAAAATTGCACAATTCCACACATACTTATTTTGGAAGTGAGGCCTAGAGAATTCAATGGGCTTTAAATTTACAGGAAATTGTTAAAGGATTTCTATGTAGAATTATAGTCTAAAAGTAGTCAATACCTATTAGGACAGTGTTTAATTTCCCCCAAAATATAATGTTATCAATTTGCTCATGTAGCAGAAAGCAAAAATCAACTTGGATAGTAATCTGAAATGTTAGTGCAAGAAGTGTGCTTTGAATCTTATTTGAATCTATCCTGCATTTACATTGCAAATATCTACCCGTAAATACAACACGATATACAGTATTCCCATTGAAAGCATTTGCTCATTATAAGCCTGACTTCACAAGACGATGAATGTTTGCCTTGAACCACTACGTCTTATGTGGTTCAAGGCAAAAAGGGTTGGCCAATATGTTCAAGAATCGTTCTGTGGAAATCTGTCAGAGCTTGTTGACTTCAGAATTTGGGTTCCAAAGATGAAAAATTCCAACCTGCAAAACTGGATGCTAAGCAACATCGAGACCATGGCAACAGTTCTTATCTTTTTTTGTTGTCCATTGATAAAATTCAGGCACCCATAGTTTAGCACGAATCCTAAGAGGTGCACTTAAAATGACAGCCAGGCAGCATTATAAGACAACAGTGACTCATGTTGTGTCTGCATAAGGCCGTTCTATGTGTAATGAAATCAGAAGGGAAACTATCAGGGGATAAAAACCATAAAACAGCATCTGCAACTAGTTATTTTCAGAAGCAAACAATGATATGGATTTTTGCAAATGGGCAACATTAACTGCCATCTAAGGGAAATGATTATGCTGCTCTGTATTTTTCTTTTTTTTTTAATTGGCTTGCAGGGCACAGTGGCACTTCAAAAACTAATTATGCTCTCCAATCACAAGCTTTCATAGCAAGAAGTGAATTTTTCAGGTGCACGGCTCTGCCATTTTGAGGTCTGGAGCCTGGCTGCTTTCAAGGTCTACTAGGGGAATAGTTACGTCAAGAACTGTCAAGCTGGGTCCTGGAGTAGCCACTTACACATCACCAAGGAGTGCAAAAGAAGATACAGGACTTACAGTTCTGGATACGCAGAACTGATTTATTATGCGCACATTTAGAAATAATGATGACCAGTAAAATAGAGCACAATCTCATCCCTGGAGGGAAGGATGCAACCCAGTGAGATTTGCTCTCTAGACCGTTTAGGAATAAATTAGATTTGGACCAGATGTTCTTTCAGCTAAATGAGGACATATGACCACTCCATGCATCGGTGAATCTCTAGCATTTCACCTACGAATCCATCACGACTCCTGTAGGAGATAGAGCCATATGCACCGTAATAATACTAGTAATTCCACCATCCCTGTTACTACACATTCCTGAAAGCATTATTCTGCCATAGTTATGTTATATTCAATTATTTTGCAATCCCGTTTTTTACCAGCTTTAACAGAGGGGGAATTGAACCTGAATCCCAGATAGGTAGAGTGCCAGGAGTTCATGCTTGAGAAAATAGTGTAATATTCCCAAAGACAAGAATTGAGACAGTGACTGGGTTCATAGACCATGCCATTAGTTTGTTCAGTCTTCTTTCTTCTTTTTTGGTGTTCATTAAATTTAGTTTACAACTACCACCACCACCAAAAATGCAGTAATAGTTATCCAATTTTTTAAAAAGCCCCCATAAATATAATAGAAAGAAGCTGGGTTTGTTAATATGCCACCATAGACAGGTTCATATATTGTGCTAAACCATTACATGGTTTCTTTGGTTTTGCCTTAATGTATTGTGTGAAACTGGCCATTGTGGCTTATAAACCTAGTTGAGGACTTAATATGTTGTACAAATCTGGCCAATTGTGGCTTATGAAACAATCGTGCAACAGTCACCTGGCCAGTGTTTTACAAGGAACAGGTATCAGAAAATATGGCCTGCCTTTGGTAATTAAGAAAAATTTGGAG